TTAGGAGCTTGTGTGTGTGTGGTGGGGTCGTTATATAAACAGAACAAACCATGACGGAATATCTCATCTCTACCTACTTGAACGGGAAGAAAAGTTGTTGTATTTACGATCAGTGGCAGACAGGGGCTTAATGAGTGTTGGTGCCCCCCTGGGCGAGACAAAGATTTTTTTACAACACCGGCCTTTAGGGTGTGCGACCTGTGCCCTCGCACAGGGCGCCTCGGGCGTCCAGTAAATGTTTAAATTCCCTTAGTTTAATTTAGTGAAGTGTGAAGTACCATAGAAAAACTAAACAGTCCAAATTAATGTGCATGTTAAAATGCGTATGGTTAGCTACATGCATAGCATCATAACACGTGCTCCATGTCCTACGTCATTACCGGAAAAAGAGCGGAGCCATACAGGGACAGGGAAGGGGGCACCGAACGGGTGTTTTGCACAGGGCGCTAGTTTACCTAAGGCCGGCGTTGTTTCCAACCTCTTTCCACGAAAAAACTGCAATTGGACGACAATGTCGCCGCTCTATGTATAGAAAAAAGTGCCACCCGTGGTTGACCGGCCCCCTTTCCCACGCCACTGTACACGTGAATTAAATCTTGTTTTTGGAAGTGCTTAGCTCTCCTTTTTGATGTTTTATGTAAGACAAATGACAGTATAAACTGACATGAATGCAGTCGTGTAAAGATAGAAATAATGGACATAACGTGCAGAAGGTATCGGCCTTCTGAATCCACGGCTAGCTTGGATTATAGTCGTGTGTGGCACGTCTGGTGACCTTACCCACACTGGGACTTTACCCACACTGGGACTTTACTCACACTGGTACCTAACCCACAACGGGACCTCACTCACACGGGGAGCTTACCACACCAAGACCATACCTACACCCGGGACCTAGCCCACGCCTGGACCTTACCCACACGGGGACCTAGCCCACACGGGAACCTAACCACACCAGGACCTTACCCACACCGGGACCTCATTCACACGGGGACCGCACGGCGATGTTCTGCTTAGCTCAGCTAACAATGTGTGTCTCTGGCACAATCATTGTCCAATTCTCGACTCATCTGTAAACAATGAAAATTACAAATATTGGCATGAGTTGTCGGGGAGGGGGGGGGCGGTGAGAGCATAATAATTGCGCTATTGTGGGCATCAGTTTCAAGAAAAACGTTTGCTTCTTTCGATGGCCAGACGTTCAAACAGTGGATGAGCTGACCTGACCTGACCTGGTAATGAAGAACATGATGTGGTTTTTGGACAGTGTTAAAAGCGCTTAAACGAACTGCGCCAAAAAGCAGGAGGCGAAGCAGATTTTCGCCTGTGTCTGCTCATCTCTTCCTCCTTTAAAACTTAACCGCTGACCAGTATGTATGCTTCTGAGGAAAAGGGGAGGGGGGTGGCGACAAAGAAACGCTTAAGTTAAACCCAAAATAATGGGTGCATGGGAATGGGGGATCATGGCCCAGGTGCCCCCCTCCCCACCATTTTTTTCAAAGCCATGTTTACACGGGAGGCAAATGTTCAGCCGTTAATCTTCCTTGTGTTCCCTCATTAATTTAGGCGGATTAGGTTAACATTTCTAGAGGTTCTCAACATCGCATCTTGTTATCGCCCTGTCCCGTAACCGTCCAAATCTGTCAGCGTTTTGCAGTGTGCAGTTCTGCCCATGTTAGACGCACCGTGCTGGCTCATCCTGTAATCAGCTTTGAAATGTACCCGATTTTTTTTTTTACAATCAATACCACCGTGTAGAACTGAGCTCTTTCAACAATACCACCGTGTAGAACTGAGCTCTTTCAACAATACCACCGTGTAGAACTGAGCTCTTTCAACAATACCACCGTGTAGAACTGAGCTCTTTCAACAATACCACCGTGTAGAACTGAGCTCTTTCAACAATACCACCGTGTAGAACTGAGCTCTTTCAACAATACCACCGTGTAGAACTGAGCTCTTTCAACAATACCACCGTGTAGAACTGAGCTCTTTCAACAATACCACCGTGTAGAACTGAGCTCTTTCANTGTGGGCCGATGTGACACATAATCTTTTAGCAAATATGGGCCGATGTGACACATAATCTTTTAGCTGTGGGCCGATGTGACACATAATCTTTTAGCTAAAGAAACAAATTTTTGTTTTCGTTTGTTCATATTTTATTGACAGCCTTCAACCTTTCCCTTGTGACAGTTTGAATATGTTGTTACTTCAAAAAGTATTCATACATGCACTTTACACTACCCTAAACATATTCATACACGCACTTTACATTACCCTAACCATACAAACAATTTAAATTACCCTCACCATACACACACTTTACTTTACCCTAACCATAATCACAATTTACATTACCCTAACTATACACACAATTTACATTACCCTAACTATACACACAATTGACATTACCCTAATTATACACACAATTTACATTACCCTAACTATACACACACTTTTACATTACCCTAACCACACACAATATACACTACCCTAACTTTACACACACTTAACATTACCCTTATCATACAAACAACTGATCCTCCTCGGGGACGCCATTTTGCTTTGTTTTGCGTCTAGCGATATGGATGTGTAAATATTGTGATGGTAAGTTCCTCTTTCAGCCCACCGTTTATTGACAAACCTGAACGTGGTATGCAGTGTCAGTACGGAAACTTACCATGTGTTGACATAAATCTACTGAAATCTCTGCGTTGGATTGTTGGAGACGCCGTCGCACTGATACTGACCGACCGTCGCACTGATACAGACCCACCGTCGCACTGATACTGAACTGATACTGACCGACCGTCGCACTGATACTGACCGACCGTCGCACTGATACAGACCCACCGTCGCACTGATGCAGACCCACCGTCGCACTGATACAGACCGACCGTCGCACTGATGCAGACCCACCGTCGCACTGATGCAGACCCACCGTCGCACTGATGCAGACCCACCGTTGCACTGATACAGACTCACCATCGCACTGATACAGACCCACCGTCCCACTGATACAGACTCATGGACGCGTGCAAGGTGCGGGGGTGTCAGTGCTGTTACTTTGGGCGCATGCTGTAAAGATAAAATTGCCGACGATATGTTTCTATCTACGAAGTTTTGTCTAGATTTAATGCCATCATTGGTGATGGACAGATACTCCACTATGGTATCGGCACTCATGCTAGAGTGAGTGCAGCCACGGAATAACACTAACAAAACAACCTTTGCAGTTAGCCGAAAATGCCGCTCTTCCTTATAAAGGAAAATGTGTCTCCCCGAGGGCGGTAAACCCCCCCCCCCGCCCTCTCCCCATTTTTTTTTGTTTTTTTGCTTCGGCTTTGCTTTGTGTTTGTCCTCATAGAATATTGAAGCAATGAAAAGATATCCTTGGTGCAACTCAGAATTNACTCTGGTGGCAGCTTTGACTTAGGAGACACAGGAGAGACACCGGAGTTGGCCATACAGAGTTCTGTCCCCGCAAGGGCACAGCACGAGACCAACTGTGGTGGTAAGAAACTCGATCTGAGAGAACGGCTTCCAGACCTGCGGATGTCGGCTAAAAGCAGCTTAGATTCCGGTGGTAGTTTTGATATGGACAGTCAGGCGAGAGAGGATGTTGATGTTTCTATAGTCCCTAGTCAGGACAAGAGGAGGATGGTAGGCAGTATACAAGAGGAAGTAGCTGGCGTTTCAGAAATGACACCAAGTGAGGCAAGTACCACATCTTCATCGCGGATGTTCGAGACCAAGTTTAGGCCAGAAATAATCATTAACAGGGACGGCTCCCAGAGCCAAGTGTCGGCCATTTTCTCTAAAGTGGCCAGGAAAATGGTGAGAAGGAAAAGCTCGAATCATGGCAACGGGTTCTGTGTCCAAAAGAATGGTTATAACGACAGTGGGGCGAGTGCCAGCAGTGAGGATATATCAAAGGCTGATGCTCCAACGGATCTTCTGGGAGCGGCCAACATGTGGGACAGACCTTTAGAACGAAGAGGCCGCAGTGTTAGTGACGTGGTAAGCACGTGCAGAGCTTTGAATCTCGCTGGACGCAACGATTTTTTTATTCTCGAGGACGTCGGATCAACGGACGGGCGACTCGAGTTTTTCACGAATGCACGTTTCGATTCCAGTTGTTCGGAGCAGTTAGATAAGATGTGCGGTTCAAAGCTAGGTGGATATAACAGTGACAGCTTGAGATGTTTGAGTATACAGGAGGAAGCCGCCAGCCGTGATCTTTCAAACGCCAATCAGATAGACGCACGTGTCGAGGGCAACGTCTTCAAGACAGCGCCACCTGAAATCTGTTTGTCAAATGGACAATCGGATTCCAATATTGATAAACGAACTACAGGGCAAGGGGTAGAATGCGAAGATGCTGTCGTTATCGGTGTATTAGATGTAAGTAACGATGTGGCGTTGAGTTTGACAAGCCTGGAGTCGTTGGGGCAGAGCCCGGTGGATTACAGCTCCACACATTCCTTGGAGGACGCACAGAGTGTTTCTGAAACTTCTGAGCCAGCGGTGCATTTCTGTGATACGGATTACCCGATCGGTGCCGGCGGCAGGGCCATGAGCTACTCCAGCATGGACTCGCTGGAGGATAAAACGAGCCCCGAACACAGGGTCGGCCCCAAGACGTTCGACGATTCAATCAGCAGCATAAGTTGTGATATAGAGGTGCCCTGGTATAAGTTCGAACCCATCAGAAACACGTCTCCCTCGACGAGTGACAGTTCCAGGGATCGAGAGGATTACTATTCTTGTGACAGTAACGTCAGCTGCAGTTTGAGCAGCAATCTAAATATGGACAGCGTAGAGTTTTTGGTCTGCTCCCAAACAACAGAAATCTCCCAGGTTTCGCCCGATGTTCAACTAGCTCCATATCAACAGGAGCGGTCATCACAGAACACCGAGGGCGTTTCGTCTAGTTATGCTCCGCAACTTCAGCATAGCCCCGTTCGAGTCAAAAGAGATTTCGGTTCATGGGAGCTGCTTGACACCTTCGAAGATGGGTTCGACATAAGTCAAGTAGATCCTAAAAGCTTGGATCATCGATTATCGAACGGTTCGACTGCAAAGAGTGGTATGGATATTTCGATGTTAACGTCGACAGACGACCATTGGCTTGGTGGTGGACATGATTTAAATGGGAATGAACGTATTCTGGACGACTGTAGAGACGATATGAATATTTACACCATCCTGGAAAGTGCCAACAGCGATAGAATACAAACTAAAAACAGGAGTATCAGTGAGAGGACTCGACGAAAAGGTAATTGTAGCTTGAATGCCGACTCTATAGAGGCATCGCCAAGCAGTGATACTTTAGTTGCACATACTACCTCGGGCAGTGAGGACGATTCTTACGAACCTCCCGTCGATGATTTCTACGGCGAGGCATCCACGGTCAATGTCACGTCGCCAGTTTACCTTCCATCCTCGCCAAACCTTGGGGGTCAATGTGCTCAATGTCAAAATGACAAAACGGGCAGTCGGAAACCGAAGCGACAAGGCCACATCAGCAGTCTAAAAACTGCGTTCCTCCGCATCTCCAGCCCAACTAAAAACTTCCAGCTGCCAAACCTGTTTACCTCCAATAAGTGTTCTTACGACCTCGAACTCGCGTCGTTGGCCTACTTCCGGCCGGAGTCTGCGACGCCGCCCAAACAACGGCGCAACAAAAAATCCTGGCAACTCCTGGCACCGGCTGAATCGTCGTCATCGCCGGCAACACCGTCGTCGCCGAATCCACCCCGAAAGTTCCATGAGTCGCCTCCTCCTTCATCCCTGGTGTCGCCGCAGCGAGCCGCGCTGTTGAAGCGAGGAAGATCCCTGTCTGTGGACAATATCACCAGCCCGTGTCGACAACTTGGGCAGCCGGCTTCGGACAGAGGCAATACTGCCGACCGAAATAACCCATGCGCACCCGGTGGCGCCGGTGTGCAGCTGAGAAAAATTTCATACGGGAGCGCTTCGCTGGTTTGCTGTGGTGGCACCCTTGTGCCTCTGGAGAATCTGTAAGCAATCAACTCTCTTTATTAAGTCAATTGTAAAGTTTAAATGATGGCGTTTGTTTGTAGATCTATAATGTGTCGACCAGCGATTGTGAGGGTGTGTGTTCTTGTCTCATGGTTACTTGCCCACAGTTGCTAATGCTCCTAATGCCATCTGTGATTACTTTCTGCTGCGTGTTCCTCCTCTTGTCCACCCTAATTGTTCATCTTCTTTAGCCTTCCCGAAGTTTAACGAACGGTATACAGAGAGTCGGGTGATACAGTCATATTAACGGTAGACAGAGGGGCGGGTGACAGTGATATTAACAGTACACAGAGAGTCGGGTGACACAGTCATATTAACAGTACACAGAGGGGCGGGTGACAGTCACATTAACGGTACACAGAGGGACGTGTGACACAGTCATATTAACGGTACATAGAGGGGCGGTTGACACAGTCATATTAACAGTATACAGAGGGGCGGGTGACACAGTCACATTAACGGTATACAGAGGGGCGGGTGACACAGTCATGTACACAGAGAGTCGGGTGACACAGTCATATTAAAAGTACACAGAGGGGTGGGTGACAGTCACATTAACCGTACACAGAGGGGCGGGTGACACAGTCACATTAACAGTACACAGAGGGGTGGGTGGTACAGTCATATTAACTGTATACATAGTCTTACAATAAAAAAAAATAGTTTTTTGATCCTTGTATTCCTATATAAATGACGTTAAAAGTCCTCCGACGAATACAAATCGCAATCTTCTACATTTAGCTCTATCTATCTAAAAAAAATGTGAACAGCATATTCAATCAATCGGTAATTTATTTAGAAAGTTATGCTTAAAATCATTAAAGTTAGGTGTTTGGTTCACCTAAATTAACCATTTAAAAAATGGGGATGTCAATGAACATATCCTTTTCTTGATAACACCATTGGAAAGTTGCTAAAATTGAATATTTGAGATCGCCGCAGCTAACAGAGGCTAGTTTCTCCCGCTATTTGGATGTATAATTGACCCTTTAAATCCATTGGGAACCTTATGCGGAGGTATTTATTTGCGTCATCCACACCGCATCATTAGAGGAATGCATCATCTATAGTGACCGTCAATCAAAATGGTTGTTTTTTTCCCCTTGAAGGAACTTCCTGGCTAAGAATTCCCATTTAAATATTATCTTCCCTGTTGGGCGACCTTCGCTATAAATCTGCTTCAGGACAGAAAGAGAGAACCTTGTTTTTGTCGTTTGTTTTCCACCACATCCTGTATCAGCCGAGTCCGGGCATATTCCAGTGGTCCTTCTAATGAGCTACAAATTCATGTAACAGGCGAGTACGACAGGATCAGTGGTCCTTCTAATGAGCTACAAATTCATGTAACAGGCGAGTACGACAGGATCAGTGGTCCTTCTAATGAGCTTCAACTACAATACCAGTAACAGCTGAGTCTGGGCAGAATATAGTGGTCCTACCAATGAACTGCAAATACCAGTAACAGCTGAGCCTGGGCAGAATATAGTGGTCCTACCAATGAACTGCAAATACCAGTAACAGCTGAGTACGACAGGATCCAGCGATCTCTCCAATGAGGGTCAAATATATACGAGTAACAGATGGGTGGGGCAGTTTCCAGTGGTCCCTCTAATAAGGTATCCACACACAGCCAGGTACGACATATCCGGTGGACCATCTAATGAGGTATCCACACAGCCAGGTACGACATGTCCGGTGGACCATCTAATGAGGTATACACACACAGCCAGGTACGACATGTCCGGTGGACCATCTAATGAGGTATACACACACAGCCAGGTACGACATTTCCGGTGGACCATCTAATGAGCTACCAATAGGGCCTTTTGTTTTCCTCTTCCCAGATCCAGGTTACGGCTGACTGGGGTTTGATTGTTGCCATGTTACATTTCCCTTTTTACGTTCTCGGTTTTTCATTCGTACCTAAACAATTTCTTGTCGTTATACACAGGATTTACGCACCAGAAGCTCGGAACGCAATTGGACACGCTGGTTTTATAGCAGGATTAAATCGTGCAAAATAAAATGGAGGAAGTCGCCAACGAAAACATCGACCCCCCCCCCCCCCCCAAAAAAAAAAAAATTGTTTCGCTCAAGAAGTGGCAACCACGCTGGTTTAGTCTTTGTCTGCAGTCTCGTGTCCACTAAAGATAATCTAAATACATTCGGCGTGACTTATCCCATACTCGGGGAGGAAAGAATATGCCGTGGAAATGTACGCGTGTAAAGGGTTGCTAGAAAACAGTTGACGATTGCCCCACGGCATGCAGTGATGCTACGTGTGTTAATGCACAACAAAAATAAAAGGAAGTCATATTGTAAGTCTATGAAAACATTAAGCTTAAAATAACTGTCAATGCTATAGAGGAGTTTATGTAGTATAAATATCGACAGTTGAATTGAAGCAGATGAATTGAAGCAGATGAATTGAAGCAGATGAATTGAAGCAGATGAATTGAAGCCATGCATTTGGTGGTTTTTTGTTTGTTTGTTGTTTTTTTTGCCGACCCAGTGTTGTAGGAATGTTTCGACAACCACACGGCACAATCCAGCTTGTAGATGTATTTTATTGTAAATCGAAATTATGAACCAATGTGCTATTGTCCATTACCACGTGGACAAGTCATAATGACGTCCCAGGCAATGAGGTCCCCGGACAATGACGTCCCCTGGCTATGACGTCCACAGACATGTTTAAGTCGGGTTCTAGACATCATGCACGTCGATGGGAATCCATTAAAATTTAAGCGGGTTTCACTTTATAGTTAATCCAAAATATAAAAGATTTCGCAAGAAATATCTAGGTCGAAATAAGCCATTTGAGGGAAATTTTAAAAAAATATTTTTTTGCAAGATAAATGTTTAAAGTTGTTTTTCTGCATTTTGATTTAAAAAGAAGAAATTGTTCCTCAAATAGCCAACTTTGTTTTCATTCATAAAATGATCATTGGGCCTGTCTTGGCACAAATGTCGTATCCTAAAAGTGGTTTGTTTCATGTTTGTTGGATAATTACAGGTGGTGCGGTTTGGGCGGCCCGCTTCGTGCGGCACTGTTAACAAACATATTTATTCGGAGGGGTGGCTTTTATTCGCGGAAGGGGCGGCCGAAATCTTAGCCAGCCCCGGGCGGTCTTTACCTTAGGTACGCCACTGTATACAGGAGTGCACACCCAAAAACGCACGTAGCTCCGAGCATTATTCGACAGTTCGCGACCTCGTTGATCTGGGTGACTGAGAACCGCTAGTCACGGGTCACCGAGCTTCCATTAAAAAAATGTGGAGAATCCCTGACGTCTCCACACTCGGCTTGGTTGACTGAGATTTGGCGGCGCCCCCCTCCCCCAATCCCCTCGCCACCCGACACCTTTTTTACGACTCGGTTCACAAACAAGGAATGTTTGTCAAGTGGATTTGGCCGGTCCTTGTGTTGTGTGTGTGAGAGAGGTGGTGGTTGGAAAAGGTGGGGGTGGGGGGTGGGCTGTCCTAGGAACAGAGGGCGGAGAAGACACATTTGAGCGTAATTCTCTCAAGGCGATCCCTGCTTGAATTGTTGAGAATTGTTGATTCAACATGACCGTATTGCGACTTGACCGACCGTGATTGTTAGAAGTACAGGGAAATTATACCTTGTTTACATTTCTAGGTGCCTACTGACTGGCGGGATTTCAGCCCTTCCATCTGGCCTTGTTATTTTTGTGTTGTTGAAATGTTGATACAAGCCGGATGGTATGTAAAGAAACATTTCTGATGGTCGCTTTGCGGACGTAGCCACGAGTCTCGGGGAGTTTTTGTTGATAGTCATTGTTTGTTGGCTAATCCAAAAAGTGGTGTGCAGTGTAGTGACGCTAGAGATCGTGGAATGTCTGCTATGCGGTGCTTACCTGCAGTGAGATCAAGTCTATCCTTGCGGAAAATCTTGCTTTGTGCAGGCGGCGAGTGGTGGTGGTAAAGCCCATCTCTCTCTCTTTCCCCGAGTTCTGTATTGTTTTAGATAACCCAGTGGCAGTGGCGTGTAACAGGAGGGACGGACTTAACGACATCATACCTCTGGATACGCCAGGGGGTCTGGTGTTCTGGATATGTGTATTTTTCTCGACGGTAACGGAGTCACTGTTCAGGGTTGTGATTGGATCGCTTCCTTAATGATGGATTGCGACGGGCCGAATCAAACGTGTTAACGATAATTAGGGATGTGTTGCTGTGTTTAGAGAGCACGTCATTTCTACTGTGTGTTGTTAACAGCGGGCACAGACTAAGGCGAATTCAGCACGTAAACAACGAGTTTGTCAGCTCGGTGGAATAATGTGTGGTGCGCATATTAACACTCTAGTCTACTTGATTCAAAATAAAAGGGCATATCATTAAGGATATCAACGCTGCCACCGGTTCGTAATATAGGATGGTAATGAGAGGTGAGTTCTTAAATATGATTCAACTGTTTGACTAACGGGTATACAAAAAAAAATACAAAAAAAAAATAAATAAATGACCACATCCAGCTGGAGTCCACAGAATTTCCTCACCATGAGAGGATTCTTCCACAAGAGCGACTCAGCCGACTCTGGTGGCAGCTTTGACTTAGGAGACACAGGAGAGACACCGGAGTTGGCCATACAGAGTTCTGTCCCCGCAAGGGCACAGCACGAGACCAACTGTGGTGGTAAGAAACTCGATCTGAGAGAACGGCTTCCAGACCTGCGGATGTCGGCTAAAAGCAGCTTAGATTCCGGTGGTAGTTTTGATATGGACAGTCAGGCGAGAGAGGATGTTGATGTTTCTATAGTCCCTAGTCAGGACAAGAGGAGGATGGTAGGC